TTCAAAATATTTATTTTTATCCATATACTCTAAAAAAAACGAGTAATTTGATTCATATTTTAAAATTTTATACACAATTAGAAACAAACACACATAAACAAAAAATAATATTTAAATGTACTAAAAATTAATATTTAAACAAAATATATATTATTAGAAAGAGGGAGAGAAATGTGTGGACATTATAAAGTCAATCTCTAAGTCATATAATTGGGAGATTCAAGGCAGGCAGGAGTGGGCCCCACAGATCATCTGTTACCACGCCTGTCCTCCGAAATCAAAATGCCTTTTTCCAAAGAGATTAAACAAAACAAACCACCTTTTGTCCTCCACCGTACAGCCACGTGATCCGACCTCCACTTTCTTCCAACGGCTCTTCAGGTTGCCCACCACATTTCCACTTAGGCTAACCCGGCATGGACCGGTTCGAACCTCCGGACGAGGTAAATCTTATTCATGCCCTAATCAGTTTGAATTAGATTCACGTTGGTACGCAGGACTAGTACTGGTTCAATTACTTAAAAACTTTGAGTAATATTAGAATGGATGCTTATTGGCAACCAATAAAAATTTGACAATTTTTTTACTTTTTTGAAAATATATTAATTTTTCTGCATTTTTCTCTTGTTTGTTTCAGCAAAAGATTCAACACCTAAATACTTACTAGGTTCGGAAGTTGAAATCTGAACTTCAACCTAACTTATTGGCTAAAGAAATTAGTAATATTTTTATTTTAGAATTTTATAACATAAATGTATTTTGATGTAAAATTGATTTTTTTTAAGGAATCTTAAATTTGGTTTTCTAAATTCCCTTGACAAAATTAGACAGGATATATATACAATGGGTTAGAACGATGAGATTACGATTATTCAAGTTATAAGGATTGATGTGATATGTTGAAGATTTTTGTGAGCACGACAAAAACTTGAGTTGAGTATCCAAATGCTCACGAACATTCTATTTATTGGTTCTCTTCACCATCTAATTCTCTTTTTACAACATCTAGAGGTTAAAATATTCATCTGAGGATTAACCGTATCTATCATATCTCATATAAATATCTATGAAACGTAAAATATATCCTCAATTAGTTACCAATATGACAGTTATGAATGGACAAAACATACATTATTAATTAAAAAAATTATATATTTTTTATTTAAAGAAATATATGTCGATATCATATCTGTAAGATTAAAATCTCGATATCAACATCAACATCGATATTTTATAATCATTTCCAACACCGATACCAATAATAATATCTCCTAACCATAATCAATAACAAAAACCTACGCCCTCTATATATTTTATTTCTCTTCGTATTGATTTAAACTACAATACACATTTTAGATTGATTTTGATGGAAATAATTAACAATTACTTATGATCAATTATTTTGTGAATCAACTAATAAAATTCATGAAGATAACAAATATTAGCTTCTTTTCTGCATTTTTTTCCCTAAAAAAATATCTCATTTGAGTTTATGGGGAAAACCCAAAAAAAAAAAAGAATAATCGTTATATATTGTTTGCATAAGTTGTTATAAATGGAATAATACTATTGCTGGAAAAAGCAATATTAATTGAAATATATATAATAATAATAAATAACAAATAGCAATGATGTAAACTTTTACCAACCACAGTTAATGAAAAATGTCATAAATTGTGTAACTTCGAAGCAATGTTGTCAAGGAAATATCCATATCTCCACAAATTTTTCATTATATTTCTTTGGAAAATTGTTCATTATTCATCATTGTCAATCATTAGTTCGATGGTGATTTTCTTTTTAAAAAGCAACTTATATATTTTTCAGTTTTTACTTTTTAATTAAAAAAAACTTAATTTAAAAATAGAAGTAAACACGTGGAAATAAATTTATTGAGTATCACGAGTTAAAATAAGTCTAAATGTTTTTTAAGCTGCTGCTTTAGTGAAATTAAAAAATAGAGGTTCATTTAACTTGCATATTTAGAAATTTATAGGAATTTGGTACCTCTTCATTTTCTTATAAATTTGTCCATCGTTTCTAAATTTTGGGATAATAAAGCCGAGGCGAGGGTTATAATCATCCCGACTTGTCTCTAGAATTATAAGGACCACTTTATAAACCTCAGGGGAAGAAAGAAAATAGGAGAGAATAATACATAAACCAATTAGTATTTTATTAAATTCGTCAATTTAGTTACAAAATATAATAATCTATTTTTATTAATATAATCCCAATTATAATTCAGGTATAAAATCTAATTCAAAATAATATAATCTAAACTATATCTAATTCAAATAACATAATATAATCTAATACCAATTTACATAACCTAAATCTGGTAGGATACAACTCATTACGAACAAGATACATAAAAGAAAAGCATGTAAAAGTAAAGGCTAAATATAATAAATTGTTATCTAACAAAAATTAATAATAATAAATTGTCACTAATATTTTAGTTAATTGTTACTTTAGTTTTTTAATCGTTTTAAATTCTCAATTTTACTTTTAATATATTAAAAATTTTCAATTAGATTCTTCTGTTAACAAAAGAGAAATTGTTAAAATTTGTTAATAAAAAGTTGATGGGTTATTGAATTATTATTTTACAAATATATTTAGACGCGTTGACATGCTACTTGACAAATGAAACTCGATTGGTTCATTAACAAAATTCGGAACATTCCTTTAACAAAATTCCTTTTTTCACTATCTATTAACAAATTTTAATTACTTTTTCTTTTTACCAAATGACTTCTTCAATAATTTTTAATACATTAAAAATTAAATTGAGAATTTAAAATATCGATATCAATAAAAATATCAAAGTTTTAATTTAATAAAAATATAGATAAAATGTAAATGTCGAAAAATATTTATAAGAAATTATTTAAAAACCATGACAGATATTTAAATAATCATTTCACTGTTTTGAAGTACGTTGAAATTTATTGATTATTAATATTATTTTTTATAAAAAAAAAGTAATATCTTGTTGAATTTTTGTACGTTTTGTTAAACGATAAAAATTTAATATCTTGTATCCCACATTTTTTTTTTGTTAAAAAAACAACAAAATAAAATCTTAAAAACTTTAAAAGGAAAAATAAAATAAAAAAGGCTAATGACCGGTTAACCGGGTGGATATGTGGCGAATGACACATACGCATTACGCATGTAGCGGAAAATCTGAACAATACTAACTGACGCGTGGCAGTTACCGAGTGGACACAGATATTTATGCAGAAAAATACTGACCTCATTAGATTCTCTTATTCTTTTTATTTTTTATTTTTTATTGTGATTCGGTCGTCCAAAATAAGTAAATAATTTTAAAATATTTTATTTTGTTTTATTATTATTAAAAAAACCGTGGATTCTTTTTGGTGGTTTAAATTAAACACCAGTTGATAATCTGGTTTAATTTTTATTTATCATCAAATAACAAGGTCAGGCCACAATTTTTAATTATATAAGTTATATGATAGTTTAATTATTTTAATTATGCTTAAAAAGTAAAAGAGCAATAAAAGTACAGGGAAAAAAAAGGAAAAAAACATGACAATAGCCAAAAATATTTAATCGATAGAATGTGAGTTGAACAGTTTAATTCAAACAAGACTGATTTGGCCGTAAGTATTTTTAACGTTGACTAATTAACTATTAATTTTTTTTGGTTAAAATACTATTTTAATCCCTGTACTTTTAGCTTCGGTTCATTTTAGTTCATGTAATGTTCGTTTTGGTCCCTATACTTTTAACTTTGATTTATTTTTGTCCATATACTTTGAAAATGTTCATTTTGGTCCCTACACTTTTAAAAAGTCATCATTTTAGTCCTTCATTACAAGATTTTAACATAAATTATACACATAACGGAAACAATTTAGTATAAAGTAAATGTTTGCATCGTAAGAAATATACTAATTATAATGTAGTGTTCAAATTGTGATAGAAAAATGAGATTTAAAATAAAATGAAGGGACCAAAATGACCAAGGTTTAAAAGTACATGGACCAAAATGAACATTTTCAAAATACAAGGACCAAAATGAACCAAAGTAGAATGTACTGGGACCAAAACGAACATTTTAAAAATATGATGACTAAAATGAACCAGACTTCAAAGTACAAGGACCAAACTAATATTTTAACCTAATTTTTTTAATATATGTATTTGTATTTTAAGGCTAAATATACCAGTTTTTTTAACGTGAACATGCTTATTCTTCGATTACCCTTTTGTTATGGTTGAAATCTTATTGTTCAAGCTTCATGAAAGTTAAGTACTACTCTATCAACAAGATTCATTTTTTCGAACGGCAGGTTTACGTGTCTAAATATGCTAAATTTTTAGTATTATAGTAATATCTACACCTATTTTTTAGTACACAAATATGGAGAAACAATAAATATGGAGATGTAGATTAATCTTCCGAACCTTTAGAGAATGAACAAGGTGCTTTGACTGCAGAACTATGTTCATGTTGGCAGATTGGTAATAGTACTTACTCCTTCAATTAACAATTTGGCACATCATATATTGTTTGCTAGTGACACGAAAAGTCAACAAGGATAAATTGTATAGAAAATTTTTAGTCTACTCTACGATTAGAAAATTGTCAACGGGATTATTAATGACGCATTAGCATTGCCAAACTTAACTCATAGAATCGACATATGATCAAAGGATCATGAGTTCGAATATTTCCAATCCACTCTAAAAGAAATGATGCATCAATGTTCTATTGATATGTTTAAAAAACATCTATGGGAGGATCCAATTGAAAATTTCTAAGAATAAAATAAAAAGTATTGAAATATTAAGAACAATATTCAAATTACCAAAAAGCCCCGAGACAATTGTTGTTAATTAAGGTGAAATTAACTCTCTCTTTTTGTGCGTGTGTGTTTTTTTTTAATTAGAAAAAAGTGCGATTGTTTTTAAAATACTTCCAAAATTGTGGTATTGCCATTTGCCTGTTTGCGTCTCTTGGCGAGCCCATCCCTCTATAAATTCTCCTCTCTGTTCTTCATTTCTCTGCATATTCCAACGTCGGCGAGAGCAGAGACCCCAACAAATCATTTCTTCCATACTCCATTGATTTGTGTGTTCCTGTTCTTCTTCGCTATCAAGATGTCTCTGCTCTCAGATCTCGTCAACCTCGACCTCTCGGATTCCACTGAGAAGATCATTGCAGAGTACATATGGTCAGTTTTCCAGTTTCTTTTCCCTCTACCTGTCTGTGTTTCTCTTGGAGTTCCTTTTGAAGTTTGAACGATTTTTGTTGTTGTTGTGATTTGGTGGAGGAAGTTGGAGATGCTGCCTTCTTGTGAGTGGTGGTTTTCGTGTTTTTGATATGTTCTCTGCTCTTATGTGATGTTTGTTTCCCGAGAAATAATTGGAGTTTGGGAGGTTGGGTTATTCGAGTTTGGGAAGTTCGATTGCTTGAAATTTTACTTGCGATTTGAGTGTGCTCTATTTATTGCTTGCGAAAATCTCGTTCGTTTTTGTACTTGATCGATAAATTTGTTTTCACTTGGACCTCGAAACATCGAAACCTTCTTATTCAGTATCTGTCGTTCAATAATGTTGAGAAGTTCTGAAATCTTCTTAGTACTGGCTCGGTTTCGCTGATTCTGTAAATCGTTACAGTTCATCATATTTTCTGGGATCTTCTCTAATCTAAATTTCCTTTTCCTTTTTCCTTTTTCCTTTATTTAATTTTTTTGATTGATTATAGCATTTTGTTTTCTTATGTTAATTTGAACAGGATTGGTGGGTCAGGCATGGATGTCAGAAGCAAAGCAAGGGTAAGTTCTTTATGTTGTGAAGGAGAAGCTGCTTTTTAGACATTATTATTATTATTTCTTTTTTAGGTTTTCTTCTTTCTAATCACTAGTTTTCGTGCGATTTTTTCTTCGTTTTTGCATATGAAGACCCTTCCTGGCCCTGTGAGTGATCCTTCAGAGCTTCCGAAGTGGAATTATGATGGATCCAGCACAGGCCAAGCCCCCGGAAAAGACAGTGAAGTGATTCTTTAGTAAGTTTATTGTGTCTTCTGACTGAATATATTTTGACAACTGACTGGATCTTAACATCTTTTCTTCTCCTTGAATGATGGAACTTACACAGTCCACAAGCTATTTTTAGGGACCCATTTAGGAGAGGCAACAACATTCTTGTGAGTTCTAATTTCCAGTGAAATCCATTTGGACAACAAGTTTCTGTCAGCAGTTGTTATGTATTAGATTAAAATGGCTTGATCTTGACAGTGATAATTTTGACTGCTTAGGTTGTATGCGATGCTTACACCCCGGCTGGAGATCCAATCCCGACGAACAAGAGACATGCTGCTGCCAAGATCTTCAGCCATCCTGATGTAGTTGCTGAAGAACCATGGTGATTATCAAATTTGTCAATCTTGTTTTTCTGTTTGTGAGATGAAAACTATGAAATGATGAGAATGTTATCAACAAATGCCATATATCAAAAGTGACTTTGCACAAAAAGAAACATTAGAGTCCATGTTGGTATTTCATAGGCATAGATCTACAGTTTACTTGAGACTTTGTCGTTGACTTGGCTCATTTGTTTTGGAAATACAGGTATGGTATTGAGCAGGAGTACACCTTGTTGCAGAAGGACGTAAATTGGCCGATTGGGTGGCCGCTCGGTGGTTTCCCTGGGCCACAGGTAACTGAAACTTCTTAATTGATCAGTTCAATAGAATCAGTGAGATAGATTACATATGTTTCTCCTTGACTGAAGCTTCAAATAGTACATGATTCTGTATTTCGTTTGTCGATAGGGACCATACTACTGCGGTGTTGGTGCTGACAAAGCCTTTGGCCGTGACATCGTCGATGCTCATTACAAAGCCTGTTTATATGCTGGTGTTAACATCAGTGGTATCAATGGAGAAGTGATGCCGGGGCAGGTAAAGCTTTTTCCTTTTTCCTGGTTCTGAAATGTGTTATATTACAACTTATGTGCTTCTTTTGCACAAATATAGTGGGAATTTCAAGTTGGTCCTTCAGTTGGTATATCTGCTGGGGATGAATTGTGGGTTGCTCGTTACATCTTGGAGGTAACTTAAATTGTACAAGATTGATTCAAATATCTGTTTTCTTTAGTATTCCGTGGTTTTTACGGTTTTTCGATTTTGTATAAACAGAGGATCACAGAAATTGCAGGGGTGGTCCTTTCTTTTGATCCAAAACCAATCCAGGTAAACACTCTTGTTTATCATCTTTTCTTTTGAAGAGATTGCTTTTGTTATCATCTTTTCTCATTCTGTTCTTCGTCCTCTCTCAATAACACCAGGGAGACTGGAATGGAGCTGGTGCTCACACAAACTACAGGTAATGAAGCATCATCTGTCTATTATGTTAACAGTAACCTGCAGTCCGTCGGGCATTGAACTGACACGGTCGCAATAATTTTATCAGTACGAAGTCGATGAGGAACGAGGGAGGTTACGAGGTGATCAAAAAAGCAATTGAGAAGTTGCAACTCAGGCACAAAGAGCACATTGCTGCATATGGAGAAGGCAACGAGCGTCGTCTCACCGGGCGCCATGAAACAGCCGATATCAACACCTTCTCATGGGTAAACCTATTGTTTTTTCCACATCTTGTCATGATCATTTGGAGGTCAAACTATTGATCCGTTTGTATTTAAAACAAAAAACATGACAGGGTGTTGCGAATCGCGGTGCATCTGTTCGAGTAGGACGAGACACCGAGAAAGCAGGAAAGGGATATTTCGAGGACCGGAGACCTGCATCGAACATGGATCCGTACATCGTAACTTCCATGGTTGCTGAAACCACCATCTTGTGGAAGCCATGAGAGGTGGAAGATCAGTGGTTGCAGCAATACTACAATTTAAAAGGGGAAGTGGTGGGTGTTTCATTTGAATCTACAGCTGATTCTTAATCCTTTTTACATTATTGTGTTATTTAATCTTCCATTCGAGAGTTCCCATTGCTCCATTTTCTGTATTGAATCAATAAAAGAATAGATGGTTTCTATTTCAATCTGATTTCAGGTGGTGTAATTAATAATCAAAGTCAAATTCTAATTATAAGAATTGATGTGTGTTTGACGAGTGGTTGAAAATCAATGTAAAACCGACGTTCAAAGTTCAACTGAAATTCGGTCAACTTTACAACAATCGACAAAATTGACCCAACCAACTACCAAATTGGACTAAAGTTTAGTTTTCTAAAATTTGGCATCATTTTTATGGAGTTAATATTGTATCGGGTTAAACATAAATAAGGCATAACTTCACGAAGAAGAGAAAACAAGCACTTTCCAACAACTTTGTTCTTCAAACTATTTGAAAATCGCATATCATCGTCTTAAAACTAAAACTTAAACCTAGCTACTAGTAACATGGCCAAGACGTTGATATTTCGATGCTTCTTCACATATTTTGTTTATGAATTTCAAAATAGATATTTTTTGTTTGAGAATGTGATGGGTAGTTAGTTGTTAAATGAATTTCTGGCCTTCGCTAATTATATTAATTTTTATATTACTTTTTGGTGATTGGGTCACGTGGGGTGGCATCTTCTTTTTCTTCTCCTCTTCCAACGAACTTGGGCCACCGTCCCTCTATGTAGCCGAAATCTAAAACTAAGGAGCTTCTTCTACGTTTAAGATTTAGAACGAGCTTCATTTTTTGGAGTGAGCTTTATCACTTAGACCAATTCAAAGGTACCACTTAAATTTGGTATATCTTTTGTTTCATACACTTTTTTGGGTATCTTTTTTTAGGCTAAATTATAAAAAATATCCTTTTAACTTTGTGTTCTTTTTCAATTGTGAGTCTATCATTGTTTGTACCCGTAAATTCTTTTTATCGTCATTAAAAGTTAAATTTGTTGTAGTACCAACTCTTTCATTTAAAATATTAATGGATATTTACTAAAGAAGTATTTTTTGAAACATTTATGAAATCTCGACGATAGTATTGTAGTTTTTAAAAGGATATAGACATTTTATAAATAAATGGTAAAATTAAGGGGTATTTTTGTAATTTAACATTTTTTACACTTTTTTTCTTAAATGAAAATAGTTTCTTTTAAGTGCTTAAACTATAAAAGTGTCAATCACAAATACGTGCGGGCTCTAGTAATGGCCTTATTTTTCAAAAGTCATCCAAAACGCAATCTTATTTTTATTTTTTGATGTCTTAACCACTTCAGCTATGCTCGGTTTGGCCAAAACGCAATCTTATAAATGTTGTGGTTCATTTTTGTTTGATGGTCCCAAGCGTAAAGTATTTCTGCCACACATAACAAAAGGCAATTATGACTATGTGAAGGACCAACTTATATATGCAATGGTTATATTCGCAAACATATATTTATATTTTTTGATAATGCAATATAATGTAACTTCAGATTATTAATAAGGTAAATTTGGATTAATGAATTTTAAACCCCAATTACGATCAATTACAATTACCATTACAATCCATTATCATAAATGACCCATGTATTACAAAAATTTACAGATTTATTGTAATTTGAAAAAAAATTACCAATCTATTCTTTTTTGAAGGCACTATATTTTACGTTTTCTTTTAATTTCGCTATTAATATCAATTCAACTATGATTTTCGCGTTATCCAAATATGAAAAAGAAAAAAAAATAACAGTAACGCTATTTATTATAATTTTTTCGATTAATTTTGTAAGTATTTTGATATTCTTATGACTTTTTTCTGTAAATATTTTCTAAAACTAAATTAGTTATTTTTAAATTCCATCAATTAATTAAGTAAATAATTTAATTAATTACTTGCGATGAAATTCATAAATGTATAAATCTAAGGTCCACTAACATCTTAGAATCTTTTTAGTACAAGTAAAATATATAAAAAAAATAGTACATTGAAAATTTAAATTTGAAATATCTAAATTAAGTGGGAATAAAATGAATAAAGATTCATGAATCAACTAATGGCTATGATCCATTATTTATATGACAAAAATGATAGAAATATAGAAGGAAAAAAAAAACCTAGGCCCAACTGTAGGCATGCGGCCCATAATATACTTTTTAGTTTGCAAAAGTGGCCCATACTAGTTCATTGGGCCAACCAAATATGTCTAAAACTGTAAATTGATTTCTTTTTAATCCAATTTTAACTTATAAAAAGAGATTACTAATGATTGAAATTATATTTAGGTTGATTTATTTTGAAATTTCTTAAAAGATAACATATTACAAGTATTATAGGGAGATTGTGATAGGAAAACACAAGAGGATGATTTTAAAAAATCTTCACAAAGTAAAAAATAATAAGTTGTAAAGAGTAATCGAAGAGATGTATTATTTAAGTGAATAATATGTGGCGCTAAATTTAGCAATTGGAGCAATTATGAGGTATTTATATTGAAACATGACTTAGTTCGAAGAGCCAACGTGGGTATTGTTGAATGATAAATGACGTATACTCATTTTCTTAAAGTCAGATATTCAAATATCAATACTATCGTATTTGTTGGACTAAAAAAAAACCTTAATTCGAAAAAAACAAAGTGCATATAAGAAGCTGAGAGGTACAAATTAAAGCTTTTATGCATGTGTACTTAAAAAAACACTATGATGGATAATCTAATTTAGATTCTTAAACTTATAATTTCTCAACCAATTTCAATTTCAATAATTAGTTCATTAAAAAAAGATAAACAAAATAAATAAGTTTGAAAATAATATCAATAACTAACCTATTTATTTATTATTTCCAACAATACGAATCTCCAATCTATCTAAGTAGTTAGACTATACTCATACTAACACAACTCCAATCTCAACTTTAATTATTTTCTCTTATAGATATTACAAATTATTCGTAATTGATAGGAATAACACGTCTCAAACTCCACCACGTCTTATTTACATCCTTATTCACATCGTACCTTACTATTTTTTCCAATATATAAACTAGATACCAACATAACACATAACCTAGATTGCCACATGTTATGTAACTTACCTTAATCCCCACAAAACTGACTATATTTCAAGGCAAACACAAAACCGAAAAATCAAACAGAAAACATATCATATCCCATAAAACAACTGAAGGAGAAAAAAAAAAAAGCGATGAATTAAAAAAAAAATTAATATGAAAAAGCAATAAAGAAGTGGAGAGAAATAACAGATCATGGAAGATTTTTCAAAATATATATAAAATGGAACTCATGCAAGAAAGAGCGAGGGAAGAAAGGGTTTTCGTCGTCCGTTATCGACTGAGCAGCACCATTATCACCACCAAGTTCGACAAGGAAGAAGCAAAGAAACCCACACGTTTTCTTCAATTTCAATTCATCTCAAGGTAATTGCCCTAATAACCCTAACTCATTCTCTTTCCCATCTCTGTTCTTCCCATATCTCGAACAGTTAATAGATCTTAAAGAGCTAGGACTCGAATTCGTTCAAGGGTTTGTGAAATCTTCAATTTTCCGGGGAAATGTCATTGACCCAGAAGCAATTCTCCCCCTGACATCGATTGGAGTCCCTGGACGCTGATTACTGAAGTGTTTCTTATCTAATTCTCATGGCGTTTTCTGTTTAGAGGTTTATTTTGTATCTAGATGTCAGTATTGTTATTTTTTGTTTTTTGCTTTGATTGAGTGTAGGGACTAGCGAAGTGAACGTGAGTTGGGGAGTTTCTACGAGTGCTGCGGTTGGATGGCGGAAGGCTGTGGCGCGGTTGCCGCAGATTTTATTAGTTATTAGGGGAAGTCCAGCGGCGGGCTAGGAATGTTTTATCATGGCACACCAGTCGTCACGACTTCATCGTCTTCTCACTCTCTTGGATAGTATCCTTATTCTTGCTGATGATATTGTAATAAAGGCATGTTCTTAATTATTACACCTGCACTAAATTTCACCTTTGAGTTGGGTTTTCTTAACGGAATCCTAATAGCTGGTTCAACTCAAGCAACGAGATTTACTGCAGCTCGTCAGTTGGGGGAGATTGCAAAATCCCATCCTAAGGACTTGGCGTCTCTTTTGAAAAAGGTTATACTTTTCTGAGGTTTCATTTCATCTATTAGTACTACTATTATTATTTATTCTGGTTTGCATGCCTCCTTTTTATGCTGAATCAATCTTTTAACTGTAAGTTTATATGAGCAGGTATCTCACTATTTACGTAGCAAGAATTGGGATACACGGGTTGCGGCTGCACATGCGATTGGGGCTATTGTGCAGACTGTTAAGCACACGTCTGTATCTGAGCTCATTGATTGTGTTGGATTAAAGATTTCTGAGGCTGGCTTGTCTGGTACTATCCAGGATGTCCTGGCAATGCCTGATTTTCAGTCTGCATTCAAAAGGTCTGTCTTTGTTTTTAGAGTTTCTACTTCATGCAAATGTACCATGCGAGTAGTTTACTGACTGATGCTGCATTTTCTCTATAATAGTTTTGATATCAGTAATGTGCTTGATTTTGGCGCTTTGTTGGCATCCGGGGGTCAGGTAATCCATCTATTTTAGAATGTTATTTTACTCTACATATGCTCTGGTAAAAACTCATGACCATAGACCTTTGTGCAGGTATATATATTTCTGTTCATTACTTGATAGTTTTCAGGGGTCTCTGTTATTATCTTATATATTTTAATACATTGAGTTGCTAATTCTTGTGGTCCTTGTTGTAGTATGATTTTTTGATATCACTCATGACCATATGATTTTTTTTCCAATTTATATAAATATTAGTGAATATGGATGAAATTCAATAAGTGGGCCTAAATATTTCCATTACATGTTCCCATTATTCGGAAAGACCTAAGTTTACCAAATGATTTTAGATGTTGAAAGTTTAGAATTTAGGTTTCTAAAGATCTGTTGTAATGAAGCAGGAAAGACTCATGAGTTTGATGGATCTATGGACTGATTTAAAAATATACCTTGCAGGAGTTCGATGTCACCAGTGAAAGCATCAAGAACCCGAAGGAGCGATTGGCTCGCCAAAAACAAAATCTTCGTCGTCGTTTAGGTTAGCATACATACACA